AAAAAAAACGTAAATACTGACTTTCAAAGAAGGAAGCAGACCCTGATTTAATTGCTTTACTCGTGATATCTGTAATCAGACATTAGATCACCTGTTATATGTTCTTTATTTCATCATCCCTGCAGGTAATAGCATGTGAGCAGCAGTTGGACTCCACCTACGACGCCCGTTGTGATGTCTGGTCCCTGGGCATCACAGCTATAGAGCTAGGAGATGGAGACCCGCCCCTCTCTGACCTCCACCCAATGAGAGCCCTTTTTAAAATACCCAGGTAAACCTGCCATAATTGCATCATATTCTGCTGTGCTGAATGAATTTAAATGATTTGGTTCTTATGACAAATCTGAGCTGAAGGTTGCAAATAAACCAAAAACATGTTGTGCTCTCTTCAAAAATGAGATTGATTCTCAATAAAACATATTTTATGTTTTATCAAACTGGACTCTGCTTCAAGCCTAATGACAGCTTTCCTGCACATGATTAAGTTCTCATAGAAATAATTTACTTAATTTTATTTGTACTGTGTTCGCATTTTGTTTATGTAATGTGCTTTTACATTTTTGATACCTTGAAAGGTGCTATTACAGATTAAAGCTATTATTATGCTGTTTTGCCATCCCTGGATTTGATAGAGCTGAGTACTGACTTTGTCAGAGTGATAAAATAATGACTACCCTTTTAATTTGACCCTGTTGTGCATCTTTTCTTTTCTTGTTTTGTCCTCTGAAACACTTTTCATGACTTTTTAATTACAGTTTATGGGCTGAGAAAACACAGCTCATTGAAAATGCGAATACAGGCATGAACAGTATTAAGCTTTCAGTCTATATCAGTAAATACATAGATAGTACTCAATATGAGTTTATGGATATTATATTCTGTAGGTTTTAGAACCTAAAATAGTCATAAAAACTAAAGTAACTAAACGAAAACCGTCAAATACACTCTGAAAGAAAATAAAGATAAAATTTAATCAGAAACTACAAGATTATAACCACTCTGCTTCCATTTTTAAAGCTGGAACCATGCATGCAAATAGCCTTTGCCTTAAGATACAGCTCACCCCAGGCAGAAGTAGAATAACATGATATTTTCTTCACTACCCTGATACGGACCATCTCACAAGACTGGGCATGTTTTCATTATCTGACTCCTCGGCTTGTAAAGATAGCATAATGTATAGCGCTTGCACTGCAATAAAGAAAAGTCCTCTCCTACTTCCAACATAGTGATTTGTGCCTCTATACAGACTGTCACCACACTAAGTACAGTCTTTTTAGTTCAAATGGCTTTTTTCTGCTTGCAGGGCTTTATCCATTACATACTCCCTCCCTGGCACTCATCCCAATGATCCTGCTGGGAGGAGGCTGCGGGCACAGTCCCTCTTTCTCTTTGTTTCTACTGTGAGCTGAAGCTGATTTTCTAATTGTTTATCTTCACCTGATTTCAGTGTGAGAGCATTTAACCATCACAGCACAGCTCTTTGTCCATCACTGCCCTGAAACACGCACACGCCTACACACACAGACTGCTGCTGTGTCACGGCTGTCCTGTGTGTTTGCTCTGGGGGTCGTGCTCCAACGGAGCCATCACACAGCTTTCTCACAATCTATGTGACTGCTGCAGCCAGAGCTCCGGGCTCCCTCTTCACACTCCTCACTTCCCTCCGCTCACTACTCTGGCTTCATTTGTCAAGCAGTCTTGGAAAAAGCCACGCTGAGGGCATTAGTTCATCCACTCTCTCTTATTTAGTACACATTTGCCCTCCCCCCCCAAACAGCAGGCCACCGAAGCCATTCCTCATTTTTATTATGATTGTTATAATCCTGATTTTCTATCAATAACTAGTATGGTTATTTTTATTAGTGCAGTTTTACCTACTAATTGAGGCACACAAAAGCTTGACACAATGCATGCAAACATATAATACTATAATGTATTTTATATACAGTGATGCCATACAAGCCCATGCCGTTTCTCTATTGACGTTTCTTGAGAATTGTCTGCCATATTGGATGTGATGCAACCAACAGTTGTGAGGGAAAATGCATAAAACCTGCTGGTTGGCAAGTTGTTTCTTGAAGATTGCTGGCTGTTGCTGAGTGAAATGGATTGCAAAGCTGGCACTGCATCAAAAACCTCCTTGTGTTTACTACGGTTCCTGCAGCTCCCTGTGGTTTGTATGGAAGGCGCTTACTTGTCTAAAAACTCTCGCAAACCAAACACAAACCAGAAATGGAGAATGTTCGCCTTCGAGGTAAGTCGCAGCTCAGCTCTGCAGCCAACACACTTAAGAAGATGCAAATTTTAACTCTAGATTGCTTTGGTAAACAAAGCAGTTGGTATACATGGTTGACTCAACGGCTGCAAGGTGCAAATCAGCCCATCACCCCTCCACCACCGTGCTTGACAGTTATGCTGGGTTTGTGTTTTGCCAAATGTGGAGCTGTGAAACATCTCCACATTGGTCCTGTCTGTCCAAGAACATTGTTCTAGGAAGGTTGTTCCCATTTAGGAAGGTTGGTAACTGTGTTGAATTGATGCGCAGAAGTAATTGTTTCTTTCCTCCTTGGTATTGTGTTAACACAGACCTGAATCCTCCAGACTTGCAAACTAACAAATCTTCTGCTTTCATAGAGAAGATCAGACTTGCTGATGATCATTTAACTAAGTGCATTTGATAAGCAGCACCTGGCTGATACGTTTCCTATTTATTCCTATGGAAGGCTGTACTTAGCACACACAATGTTTCTGCATTTTGATTTCACTTTTGTGTAAATAGTGTAATATGTCATGTGTTGCTCTTCATATGTGGTTGTATTTATCTAACTTTAAGTCCTCCTACGGACCAGATTACTTTCATTACGTACTGATGGATTACCGTTATTTTCAACATGATTGTTATATTTTGCCAATGTACCATGGATTATGAAAAAACATAGGTCTACACTGAAAGGAGTGTGCAATGGATACATTGTATCATATTTCAACATATGGAGCTGAATCCAAAAAGATAAAGAGTAAACATACAGAGGAACAAGTCCAGTAGTCTTTTACGTTGTTTCCTCATTGCCTTATATTTCAAGGTCCAAGGTTCTTTATTCGTCACCTTGAACCTTGAACCTTGAATTTAAATAAGAAGAAAAAATGAGGACTGCAGAGAAGGACTAAGACAACAGTATATGTATGGAAGCCAAATCTGTGCTCAAAGCTTCGGTCTCTGGAGCGGATAAAAGATTTAAAGTGCTATTATAATTGTGCTCAGGTGTTAATAGCTAAGCTTTCATTTTCATTATGTGTAACAGAGAGGATTTAAACTTGCCTCCAATACTTTACTAAGTGAACTTTTGGCAGGCGAAACTGAACAAATTGCTTTAGCGAACTGGGGTACAAACAAGAAATTATATTTAAAACAGTCCTTGCAGCCTTTATAGTGCTTTAAAAAGTAGCTTTATTATTCAGGTAGCCCAATGCAACTACCCCAAGTTATCTCTGCAGGGCTCTCTTTGTCTTTCGGATAAGAAAAACACTTTAATGATCACAGTATTAGCTGAACAGCCTGAAAATAAAGGCCTGATGCATTTCCTGTCTATATTGGTTGTGTTGTGTGATAAAAAGGAGACGAATGTCCTCTCATTAGACCAATTATTTGCTGTCAGAGCCAACGTGCGAAAGGCCTCCATGCATTAACAGGCAGCAGTGACTTCGCTGCCGAGTACCTGGAACCCTCTCGTAAAGAGGTACTTAAAGCCGAACAGGGAATCCAATTAGCCGAGTTGTTTTTCTGCTGTGAGGCCTTGTTAAGTTTAACCCCACAACAATGTGTGTATGTTTTCAGGGTAAAGTATTTAAGAAGTTCTGGTTTGAGTCTATACACAAGTTTCCAGCTGCACTGCTCTGATGGCTGAAAGCTACCACTTTTTGCCACCAGAGAAACACCCCTGGATGCCCTCAGTGACGAATCGTCCCAGCCTTCTGTTCTCCGCCCTGCCCGCTTAAATCCTATCTCATCTTATCTTTCCATTTATCTTTTCCATTTCTTCCCGTAACAGAAACCCGCCGCCTACTCTCCACCAGCCGGAGCTCTGGTCAGATGAGTTTAATGACTTCATCTGCAAGTGAGTGTGGCTTCTAGTGTTTATCCTTCCTGTGTGAATAATAAATATTTACACAGATAACCCGCTGCTTTGAATATGAATCTGAGAAATGCACTGCACTCCTCTTTCTGCCTCATGCTCGTTCTCCCACCTCACAGATGTCTGATTAAGGACTTTGAGCTGAGACCGAATGTGCAAGACCTGCTCCAGCATGTGTTCATCAAACAGACTGTCGGCAGAGAGAAAATCCTGCAAAAACAATTGATTGAGCTCATTGATCTCAACCAGCAAATTGGAGTGATTGAAAAAACAAGGTATTGTGTCCTTATGGCTTTTGTCTCTATGTTTTTGTCCCGATATCTCGCTGTATGAGCCAAATACTCCCGCACCGTAAAGTGTTTGATCGATTTTGATACAAAGCCCATGAAAAACGTAAAACAGAACGCCCTTCCTGTCAGCGGTTGTTATATGCTAGGCTGTTGCTTAGCTTTTGCCGACAGTATAATCCAAATTACCCTACTTGCTGGATGTTTTACAAGCCCTGTCACCCTCACACAAAAAACAGGTCAATCCTGCACCGGCTGCACTTGAGCTGTAGGCTCCTTAGCATGAGTTAAAATGTTGCCCTTTAAAGTGAGTTTCTCCCTGTACAGTGATAACATGTCGATCCCGTTTCTGTCATTTAAGCCATCATGGAAAGACAGACAGAAGCTCAGACAGTAATGACAGGTAACTATAGAGGATGCTTTTGTGACGCAGTAGGAGCTTTTATAATTCAGTCAAAGCTCTTGTTGTAGTTGTGATTGCACACGTATTTGCCATCAACTGCCACCCTGCCCTTCTTACATCGTTGTCTGTTTTAATGTTCAAATCATGTTATTGTCACTGTTTGTTCTGTTTTATGAGTTTTCATTTATAATACTGTAATGTCATTTGATGCTGTCAGTGGTTATGATATTTACTGTAAATCAACTACAGGAGCTTAAAAGCTCACTTGTGTTCAGCATTACCTATCAGATAAATGATGCTTCAGTAGAGACACAGTGAAATAGGATTCCTGGAACTTGACCCTGGAACGTTTTCAGGGATTGAGCCTCTGACCTTCCGATTTATAGATGACCTGCTCTGCCACCTGAGCAGCAGCTTAACCTGTAGAAAGGCCATATCCCATAAATGAGGTGTACTTCATACCATGAAAAAATGTTAGAGCTTGAAAATAGAGGACAACTAATTCATGCACATGAAGTAACAACCAACTTTTCTTAAAAGAGTTGGTGTCTGACAGTAACATCATGATGTGTTCTGCCTCACTTTCCCCAAAATGATTATTTTCATATTGATATTTTTGTTTACAGGCAGCATCCACAGCCTTCAGCTACACTCTTAAAACTGTATGTTGTTGAAATCATAATATAGTAACTAATATTTGACATGAACATTTGAGCGACCTAGCTTAAGTAGTTCTATAGCTCTTTGAAAATGGCACAGAAAGCTAAAATGTGACAGTTTTCCTATTAAAAGTGGATCATCTTGGAATTATTTAAGGATATCTGGTATGGTCAGGCTGGAAGCATGTGGTCAGCTGACATGGAATGAACGTTATGTATACAAACCCCCAAATTACAAAATTACTTGAACCCCATCAACAACACGTAAGTATCAGGAAACATAAGAGTCATGTTGTCTTTCTAAAAGTTAAATAACAATAAAGCTAAAAGCTTGTTCAGTAAATTATGTTCATCACTAAATTTGCTGGTTTCCTGATATCACTTGTCAGTAAATGAACTGACTTGTGGTAATAAGATGATGTTGCAATTCCTACAATGGGTAATTGGAATCTTGTGGGATTATTTTATTCCCTTGTGCAGATTTAATCTCTTGAAAGACACATTTACTTAACTAGAAAAGATTTGTTTACTAAACTTAAGTCACCCACTTCTGAAGTTTATCCTCCCTGTGGGACTATTTTTGTTTTATTTTATCCCTCTCTGTGTCTACTCTTTCCTTGATGAAAATAGAAGATGCTTGAATAGAGACGCGTCCCTGAGGTTAGAGTCGTAGTCAGACCAGTGCGTCCCAGTAAAAGCTCCTCTGCAAAGTAGCGGGGCTTGCAGTTCTAGAAGAATCTGCAAAATTTAACATTCATTTTTTCAGAGCATGCTCACTAAGAGATGTCATTGTTGTGTTCCAGGCATGAGCGTATTCATACCAAAAAAGGAAGCCACATGAAGACACAGGACGCAGACGAGGTGGATGACCTCGCCACCCTTGAGGTTCTAGATGAGGTAAAAAAAAAATGAATTAGGCTTTTTCACAGAATTTCTTTTTTCCCCTTCCTGGCTGCACAACATCAGATAACAAGTTAGAGTTAGGATGAAGTCACTGAATGCAGCAAACATTTTCTGGTGAAAAAGAAAAAAAACCCAGAGAATTGATGGGAGTTAGAGCTGAAAATCTCTGCCTGTTTTATTTTTCTCCTTGAAAGCATAGGTAGTTTCTATTGAGATACATTTATGAATTTACAGCAGAGTGCTCTCTCTCTCTCTTTGCTGATAGAGTTAATGTAGCTCACCCAACAGCCTCTTTCTCTCAGTCTTTCACTTTCATCTATTTTTTTAATTGCACTTTGGTGTTTAAGTGAAAGGATAACTTGTGCTGGTCTTCACAACCCACACCAAAAATAATGATAGATCAAGTACTGTTTTCTTAACTTACACACCCATATGTACGCACAGATAACTGGTATTAATAAAATATTAACTTTGTAATTACCTGCTAAGCCCAAACTGCTCTGTCCCAATCAAAATTGGAATGCTTGCACCGCACTTAGCTGGAATAAAATGGAAAAAATTATTTCTTTTATTTTTGCCCTTCTAGATGGTAACAAATACAACAGCTAAAATTTTCATGTATGATATGATGGAGAAAAAAATATTTGGTTTATTTGATAGATAGTGATTAATGCGTTTAAGTTACAAAATGAGTTACAAAAGTATTTTACTTATAACAAGTCAGGTAAATTTAAAATATACACTGTAAAAAGCTGCCAACATGTTGTTCTAACATTAACCAAGAAAAGTCACCACATATTATTTCAATTCTGTTCAATTTGGTTTTATTTATATAGCACCAAACCACAACAGCAGTCACCTACAGGCACTATATTTAGGGTAAAGACCCTACAGTAATAGAGAAAACCCCAACAATTAGATGGGCCCCTGCGAGCAAGCAACAGTGGGAAGGACAAACTCCCTGTTAACAGGAAGAAACCTCTGGCAGAGCCAGGCTCAGGGAGGAGCAACTATCTGCCACACCAAACAAAAACTCCAAAATGAACATGGCTTTGTTTCCTTTTGCAGAGGAACATATTTTTATGATATGGTGAATTCTGTGTTTATTATATTCAATACTAATACTTTTATATTAAGATTAAAAGTAGTGAGTGGTGTTTTTCCTGTTCGAAGTTCTCTTGTTGCATTCGGTGTTGGGGTGGCTGTAGCTCAGGTGGCAGAGCAGGTCAGCCACTAACCAGAAGGTCGGTGGTTCGATCCTAGGCTGCTCCAGTCAGCATGCCAAATATCCTTGGGCAAGATGCATCTATCGGAGTATGAATGTGTGTGAATGGTAGACTACTTAGCACTTAGGTCAGAAAAAAGTGCTTGTGTGATTGGGTGAATGAATTAGTTGTATAAAGCGCTTTGAGTGCTCAGACAGAGTAGAAAAGCGCTATATAAGAACAAGTCCATTTACCATTGGACAAAATATGCAATATAAAAAGTCGCTTGAGTGATTAAACGACTAGTTTAGAAATGATAATCAAAAATGAACACTGATTGAACGTTTACTGCATCGACTGTGATATATTTGTATTTAAGCGCTGTTGAAGGTACACTATGTCACATTATGACATTTAGCATCATTTTTCCTATAATTACCCATTCTGGTCTTTCAAGAACCAAAACAAAACAAAGCAAAAATACACAGCAGCATCTTTGACAGAAAGAACATTTGGAACAATTTATCAAATCTGGGGGATGAACTGACATATTGAATGAGTTGCCAGCGGATATTTCCACCCATCCTTCAAGCTGAAATGGGCTGCTGGTTTGATGGAAACGTTGGCATAAATTAAACTTCTGTGGGTTGTTTTTTTTTTTTTTTTTATAAATATAGTTCCGACTGTCATTTAGCAAGCATCTCATACTGATATTTATTGTCTTTGTTTATTTTTTTCCAGAACACTGTCGCAGATCAGCTTCAGAATCGCTATGGAAAAGATCAAATTTACACATATGTGGGCGACACCCTCATTGCAGTCAATCCTTTCCATACAATGGAGATATACACGCCTGAGGTCCGTGGAGATAAATAGACCTTTGTTTTATTTGGATCTGTGTTCTTTCCGTGTACATGCATCTCTACATTTGGTCAATAATGCAGTGAATGTAGCCTGGCATAGCTCATTAGAGCCTCTGCAGTTCTTCAGTCTGCTGCATCCCATTTGGCTTCAAACAGTGCACACACATTTTCACAGATACTACCGCTGTTTTTCTGCCTCGTCCATAACTCAGTGGCTCTATTTTCCTCTCAATTATCATGTTTTTGCCTCAAGTTTGTTGCTAATTGAGAGATTATTACAAATCCGCTTTGTAAAATCATTAATTTAGTTTTCTAAAAATATCTATTTTGTTGTATTCATTACACTCTTGAGCATGTCTTTAACAAGCTTTTATCTTTTTCTCCCTCTCTTCATAGCACACTAAGATGTACATAGGAGCTAAGCGTACAGCTAACCCACCACACATCTTCGCTGTGGCTGATACTGCCTACCAATCTATGGTTTCATACAATGCTGATCAGGTAATAAGCTCTTCAGTTATTACAAACTGTTTGAGTTTACTTGTTTAAGTGCTGTTCCACACGATGCCAGAGCAGCAGTTTGACAACACAGACCCTGAAAAAAACAGAAACCAGATACCAGAAAGTACCAAAAGCAGGTTCTGTTTTTTTTGTTTTTTTTTCATTTATTCATTTTTTGCAGGGTTGGGGGGATTTTGTGCATTTTGTGTGATGCTAATAATGCTAAATCTAGTTTGCTAGGATGGTTAGCATGGTGTGTCTATTATTCGATATTGGAGAATTGGCAAGTGAATTAAGGCCTTTTGATTGGATCGTCTTTGGGGAAATTCAAGTACATCCTTTCTAAGAAAGAAAGTTTGCACAAGACTCTGAACAGTACTGTGAAAAATTAAGTACACCCCACGATTCAATAGCTTGCAGAGCCAGTCGCTGTGGATGAGCTTTAGCCCACTCTTCTTTACAGTGTTGTTTCAGTTCATTGAGGTTTGTGGGCATTCATTTATACACAGTTCGCTTAATATCCTGCTACAGCTTTGCAATCTGGTTCAGGTCTGGGAAATTTCAAAAACTGATTATTTTCTTTTTCAGTTCTGTAGATTTGCTAGTGTGCTTGGGATCATTGTCTTGCAATATGATTTTATTGTTAATAAGGCTAATAATATAATATGCCTGTCCTATATGGACTCTGTATTTGAATTTTCTTTGTAAAAGAAAGCCAGTATGTTGATTCTCTCTCCACTGTCTGCATTCAGTGACATATTTTAGTGACAATGGTAGTTAAGCTGTTAATAACATTATTAATATTATTCGCGTTTAAGCCTCAAAGCCTTTTTTGTTGACACCACAGGAGTCAGAGTGCATATATAATTAAATGTGACTCAAGTGACTTCTTGTGTGCAGTGTATTGTGATCAGTGGGGAAAGTGGAGCAGGGAAAACAGAGAGTGCTCATCTGCTGGTGCAGCAGCTAACGGTTCTCGGGAAGGTGAGTCATGAAATCCAACCAGCACAACGCTTGATCGTTTGGTAGATATTCTGTTAACGCAGTTTGAAGATCTTGTAATGAGTTCGTTGGTGCTGCAGTTAGTGCCAGTCATGATATGAAGGCTAACTAAAAAGGAAATGTCATTTCTCTTGACCTTTTTTGTATTTATATGAGCAGATTATAGGAAGTGGTAGTGCTACTTGTCATAGTGTAACACTTACTTTTTTTTTAAAATTAGTCCCCCATACTAAAGTGGAATATTTTGTTTAGGCCAATAACAGGACACTCCAGGAGAAGATCCTGCTGGTCAACAGCTTGGTGGAGGCATTTGGAAATGCCTGCACTGTCATCAATGACAACTCCAGCCGCTTCGGCAAGTACCTGGAAATGAAGTTCAACGGTGGTGGAACAGTGGTCGGAGCACAGATATCCGAGTATCTGCTGGAAAAATCCAGAGTTGTCCACCAGGCGATGTAAATATCACTTCCTGTTTCTTGTGTTGGTCCCGGTTTTGACTGTTATTACCTTCATTTGAGAGTGACATTCATAGAAAAATACAAATAATCTCTCTGTTCATTTTCTGAAAGAACATTGCCATGAAGGTTATTATTCTGCCCGCTTTCCACGGATCAGCGGATAATAGATTGTCTCTTTTTCTTGCTCTCTTTCACATCTGCTTTTTCATTTGAAACTGGTGGCATTTGCTTTCACCTGCATTTCACTCGGTCCATCATTTCTTCTTATCGTGTGTCTGGGGAGCAGACCGGGTCAAGTGGAAGGGCTAGCTTATTTCCTATTGGATCAAAGATTGTGGTCTTGCGTGTGTCTTTAGTGGAACTTCAAAGACACACTCAAATACTGCATTGGAAAACAGACACACGTCAGAGAGGGCTCGATTAGGCCGTACATTGTATGAATATTTAGTCTGTTAATGGGTGTCGTATTTGGGTTAATAGAAAACAGGTTGAACTCTTATGTTTTCATGAATTAATCTTTATTCACATGTTGCATATTTTGTTACCCCTGCAAGATAATTTTCAATTGCTTCATTATGGGTATATTTTAATGACACACACACACCTGAAATGATTGTTGATGCTTTCCGATGAGATTTGGTGACAGTGTCCTGAATCAAATTTAGTTTGATTATCCTGTTGAAACAAAAATGGCTATTTACTAATGGATTTAGCAAAAGATTAGACAGGTTTTCCTTCACCATATTCATGATTAATATAAATTTAAGCTTAAATTTTATTCATAATAAACAACCAAAGGCATTCAGTGTTCATCATCATTCATCTATGCTTGTAATTTATTTCATAAAGTCTTACAATTTGTGTTACTGGTGGAAATACAACTTGGTTTTGAATTTAAAGAAGGATCGTCAGCCTTCTTTATTCAAACGAATATGGGAAGGCGTAGGATTGTTTGCAGATTATATTAGTTTGTCTGTTTTTCCTCCAAATTCCAAAACTATGCCATCACAACAATGGGATTGGTCAGTAGCAATGTTGATCCTGGACACTATTAACATGATGCAGGAGTAACACCAACATGGAGATATCAGATACACCATGTTTATTTTGTTAGAAATTTTCTTAAGAAAACAAAACTGGAGTCATGTTAATCATGTGGCGAAAACATTTACCTAGCATGTCTCCTTTTCAGGAATTTGATTTCCACTATATGTGCGTGTTTCCACAGGGGGGAGAGGAACTTCCACATCTTTTACTACATTTATGCTGGTCTGGCTGACAGGAAGAAGCTAGCCCACTACAAGCTCTCTGACAGCAAAACACCGAAGTAGGTTTGACATTCCTTAGCAATTTTCCCAAAACACTGTTATCTGCGTCCCATGCTGCAAACTCCCAACTTCCAGAGACCCCAGTGGTTCCTTTTTGTTTTGCAGGTATCTGTACCACGAGAACATTAAACTTGGGCCTGACATAGTGAACAACGCTTCCTACAAGGAGCAGTTTGATGCAGTCGAGCAGTGTTTCAAAGTCATTGGATTCACCCTGGAGGTATAAACTGATGCATTCATTACTGGGCCACAGGTTTAGCAGTATAACCTTGATCCCAGTGTTCACACTGACTTGTTCTCACTCTTCCCCATTAAAGTCACTCTATGTAAAAATAACATGTAAACAATCTTACTAGCTATAGCACCAGTATTGCTGGCATTTCAGAATCAGTGTGATCATGCCGGCTTCTCGTCTTGTATATGGCTTGTGATGGAACATAAAGCTGCAGGCACATGTAGGCAATCAGTTCTTGACATTGTGAAAACCTAATGAGGCTCAAAGTACTGATTGCTCTTGGGATCTCCACATCAATAGTACTTATGTTATAATCACTTGGCAGTGCTATTTTACTGTGTCGTTTTGTCGTCCATGAAATGCACTTCAAGCTGATCCCTTAATATATGTGCTGCAGGTGAATTAGTGTTTTGTTTTTGTTTGTTTTTTCAAATCTGTATTGTTTGTAGATTTAAGATTTTAACAAACTGTGCCCTTTTTTGGTCTGTTTGAACTGCTTTCATAGTTCAAAATAATAATTGAGCCACCTATTTTCGGATTGGCTACTCCTCACAAACAGAAGGTTTAAACAGCAGGTGGGCGGAGCTTCTGTGCTCAAAGCTAGAGCTTTGAGTCTGAGCTGAGGTGACCATATTAGGGATAGTTGCACACACTGATACATGTTTCCATACAAACTGTATTTGTTCTAATTTTTGCAGGAGCTCGGAAATGTTTACAGCACACTGGCTGCCATCCTCAACTCTGGGGACATTGAGTTTTCTCCAGTTGCCTCAGAGCACCAAACAGACAAGAGCAACATCTGCAACATGTCTGTCTTGGAGAACGGTAAGAAAAGAGAGAGAGAAGCACAGTGCATGATGACAGAAAACCAAATATGACTCTGAATTTCCTCTGCTACACCCCCTTCATCCGCCTCCCTCTTTTGCTAACCATCATTAACTCTGCAGGAGTCCTCCATGTTTAGATAAATACAGGAAATGATTTGGTTAAATCAATTACCCAAGACTGCATTAGTACATAAAAATCATTAAGAAGCATACATTTGTAATGGTTAGATATTATAGTGCATGCTTTGCATTATATTTTCTGAATTCAAACACCTGTTCTGAATGGTAATTTAGAAAACAACATAGATGCGGCCTATTAATTGAATGAATATTCTCCTGCTCAGTCAGAATGAGGCTACATATTGCATAAGATGTGCTGCTTTGAGTAAACTCCACACTATAAATGCTAACTTTTATCCCCTTCCTTATCTCATGTCACCTCAGTGGCATCTCTGCTTCGTATCCGCTCAGACGAGCTGCAGGAAGCCCTGACCTCCCACTGTGTTGTGGCCCGCGGAGAGACGATCGTCAGACCCAACACAGTGGAAAAAGCAGTGGAGGTGAGGGACGCCATGGGTAAAGCTCTCTACAGCCGCCTCTTCAGCTGGATTGTCAACCGAATCAACGCGCTGCTGCGGCCTGACAGCCAAGGGTAAGATGGGGGGGCAGAGAGTGTAACGGTGTGTTTGGTTGTCACGAATGAGGTCGTCTGACAAAGTTCCTGCTTTTGGATTAAAATAGATACACAACTAGATTCACTGCCAAGTCTTTAAAACTGCAGAATATACTTTAAAATCTACTTGCGTACATATTGCATCGAGTATAGTGACCATCACTATACTCGTGAGCATCACTATACTGGTTTAAGTTGTAAAAGAATTAATGAAGTGTCAAAACACAAAAAAAACCTGTACATTTGAGATGTTAAAACCAACAGTTTAACAGTTTTAAACATAAAAAGACTATAAATTCTTTCTAACGTTTAAATGATGTCTGTCTACTAACATCCTCTCAGCTGAAGTGCTAAAAATTGCACTTCCGCTAATGGCCACTAGAGGCTCATTCTAGAAGCCTCTAGAGTCATACACTCCATGCCCAGTTTTCAAGCAGAAATAAACATTTCTGCAGCCTGCTACAAATTTCTCTTTTGCTATTTCTAGCTAATTTACACCTTTATGACAGATGTATGTTTGTAAATTAAAAAAAAACCCTCAAATAATAAAATATTTTAAGGCTTTAAGTTTTACTTTTTACATTATTTTGTTCATTTTGAATTATTTTCTCAAAAGTCTGAATGAGTAAGTTTAAATTTTGACAAAAAATAATCTGAAATTTTGACTTGCTGTATGGATGGGGAAAAAAATCAGTAGCAGATAAGCTTCCAACTAAATATCCAAGACCTTTTGCTTTTTACACAAGTAAGAATCATAACTTAAAAATAAGAAAAGTATATGAGTGGTCAGCTAGAGTAGAGAAGTGCAAAATAAGAACCAGTCCACTTACCATTTAAGTGTCAGGCAACCAGAACAACATAGCCATCCCTAGCACCACACGGTTAGCTATTCTATGAATGCATTTAAAGATTTAACATTTTATCCTTGTCTTCTCCAGAGAGGACGACAAGGGCCTTAACATCGGCATCTTGGACATATTTGGTTTTGAAAACTTCAAGAAGAACTCTTTCGAGCAGCTCTGCATCAACATTGCCAACGAGCAGATCCAGTTTTACTTCAACCAGCACATCTTTGCGTGGGAACAGGTAAAGTTCAGCCCACAAACCTCACACCAGCATGCCCCCCAGCCTGTCACTGAATTCAAATAACACTTTCTCAGAACGTGAATCCCTCCTGAACAGCTCTCTGTGTGCAGTTTTCACCTTGGTTCTAACTCATTTCCATCTAAATTGAGATAACATGTCATCGTTTGTCAGTCTGCATTTTAAAAGAGATGGCAAGGGTAAAATATGCTGCTGTCTTTATTCACGGCAGAATGAGGTTCTCTGTTCTCCCCTCGTGCAGTCTCGTGAGAGGGTTTTGCCTTTGGGGGGGGTCAGAGAATGGTTTGCCAATGTTAAATGATTTGGAGTCACCCATTGGGAGGTGTTATAAATCATTCTAAACGAGGGTCAATTAGGAGTTGAAGACACTTAGTGCTGGACTTAAATTCACTCTTGGGTATTGTTGGAACCAGGCCCAGAAATATATTGTCCTATGCAGCCATCATATGTATATCCAGAGCATAAGGGAAATGTACGGTGCTGTGAGATTAATAGTTCTACATAAATAAGGCAGAATTAAAGGATTGCTGTATGGTAAGGTTTTATCAGCAGTGCATTTACTCCACTGCCCTCATGTTTTCATGTATGTTTATGCGTGTGGTTGCATATTGTCCCAATCTATCTGCATCCATGCTGATTTTTTTTTTTCTGCTTTACTTCATTTTCTTCACAGTGGCACTTCATGCTCGAATAAGCAGATTGATTTGATATTGTTTGTTCCCATTTTGACCTGTTCTCCGTGGAGTAGAAGTCCCTGGTGATGTTGCTGAGTCATAGTAGCAGATCTGAGTCAGCCTGATGTGATCAGGTTTGCTCACTTTGCCCTGCAGATCAGATTTATCAGAGCCGAGTTAAGAGGAGATAAAAGACAACAAATCAACATCGTTGATTTAATATAGTTATGTCCATAAACAGCTGTTTTGGGACAATTTATGTAGGTAAATTTCTAGACGCTTTTATTTTAAAAGGTCAAACCTTTGTGAACGCTAAAGCGTGACATTAAAGAAATAAAACCGAGGATATAAAACTGTACTGCTGTTTAATGGATCTTAAAGTGCATTTGGTATTGTAAGACAAGATTTCACTCATGCAGAAATACGGCTTTATTATTAAGGCAGCAGCATTAATAGCATCTTAGTATCGAGGAGATCAAGGAGTAATGACTATTGACCATGTATAGTAACCCAGTCCTAAAGGCTGTCCTGTGACAGTGAATATGTGTCATTAACCAGAGACCAGAAAAGCTACAGTGTCTTGCTAGGATTAGGAGATTAACCTTGGAATTAGTTTGATATTTAGAGCCAACTGGAGAGATCAGCATTCCATGAAAGGTTATTCACTTGTTCATAATTCATTCTAACATGTTATCATATATTAGGGTTAGCTAAAGGAATTCCAAGCACACTTCTACTCCACGGAGAAGTTGATTTGACATCTTATTTGGACCTTTTTATTTGGTAACATGAAAATCGATGGAAAACTTAAGAAACTCAGGCTTTCATCAAGCTGTTGGAAGGTGTTTTGACCCATGAAAGGAGGCCATTAAAGACATTACATCACGAGTGCTTATTTCCACTCCTGTGCAGGATGAGTACCTGAATGAAGAAGTTGATGCTCGGATGATCGAGTACGAGGACAACCGGCCACTCCTGGACCTGTTCTTGCAGAAGCCCATGGGGATGCTGTCACTTCTGGATGAAGAGAGCCGCTTCCCGCAGGCCACTGACCAGACACTCGTAGGTGAGCTGCTCAGATTTCAATAGAGAAATGTTTTATTATTTATGTTATCATGTTTTGAGTTTGGTAACCTCAGTAACCACAACTTCCTGTTAGTGCAGGGGCTGATTACATATGAAGTGTTAATCTAACTTTTCTCCAACTATACACTCTGATATTTTGCTTTGTCCCAGAGCAAGATAACAAGTGTGGTTGAGTTGTGGTGATCATTTAGGTTGTAGCTCCAAAACGATGACCACACAGTGACAGATGTTTAAAGTTGGCTGCTGTGACGGTTTCACAGTCAAATATAGCTTGGAACAAAATTTTGATAATATCAGAAATTTAGGTTGACCCTCTCACAAGCTTGGCTGCTGCTGTGCCCTACATATACTATACTATAGATTTATATGATATTTATATGATATTATAACTTGAATCTGGGGTGTGTAGGGACCTTCGGATGGCCTTGGGTGTTTGGATAATTAACTCATGCAGTCTGATATTTTAGAGAAATTTGAAGGTAATCTCAAGACAAAAAGCTTCTGGAGGCCAATGAGGGTTGACCTGGGCTTTGGGATTCACCACTATGCTGGAAAGGTAATTTAACATTTAATTCTAATCATAAACTGAAGCTGTTTGGTATTTGCTATTCATATCTTTCTTTATACCTCTCTACCAAACCTTAAGGTGATTTACAATGCCACGGGCTTCTTGGCCAAGAACAGAGAAACCCTTCCAGCTGACATTATCCTGCTGCTGCGGTCGTCGGAGAATGAGCTCATTCGCAAGCTTGTCACTCACCCCCTCACCAGAACAGGTGAAGCAGACACAACAGCTCTTTGTGAATGAAGTTAAAACCAAGTTAAGAAAGAAAGGTAGAAGGTGAAAAGCTCCAACTTTTGCTTCAATTACTTGAAAACGGTGCAGAAGTACTTAAAATAAAATGACAGGCCATTCTTAGCCTGTTTAGCTTCCTCCTCTGTTCACGTTCACTGACTTGATCAGCAGTAACTCTCAGCATGACAGGAGCCTACTGTTTAGACTTAAAGTAACCTCAGTACTTATCCCACCTGATTAAAATAACGTGCACTGCTCTGTTTCTTCAGATGGTTTCTGGATGTGTGACTAAGTCTCTTTTCTCTGTTGAGGGCAGTTTGTTCACTGACTCGCTCTCTAATCCACTATTCATTTCACAGGCAACCTTGCCCACACCAAGGGTAAAGGCATAAACACAATACGGAGCCCACGGACCCCGACACGCACCATCACCCTCGCCAAGGTACTTACAGCACTGTCTGCATTATCACTGTATTATCTCCCACATAAAGAACTTCCTCTGAAAAGTTGTTCAATTTATTTTCTCCATATTACTCTCACTACTCCAGTCGAGACCTGCTGCTGAATTACAGTTCAGATACTTGTGTCTACTGTGTTTTTCATTCATTCTCGCTCTGTTTTTACCCAACTGTAATTACTGCTTATTTTATTTATTTTCTCACCTTTCTTTCGTTTTTCTTTTTCCTTTTCGCTGCATTTCTGTTTCAAAAGATGGGAGTGCTAAGTTTATACAGTTCTTTTTCTTTTAGCGAGGTAATAAAGATGTGTGTATAACTATACCCTTTCCTCACCCTAGATATCCTTATAACAACCAATTGGATCCCGATATAGTGGCCTGTAGCTTGGTTTGAGATAGTTACAGTTAAAGTTACTTAGTTCAACAAAGTGAAAAGCGACCTATTATGCATTTCCTTATTTTCTATTTGATATACTTGTCAAAAAAAAAGAAACACAAGTAACATAACTATCATATACAGTATATATATATATGTATAATATAAGACTTTTAACCTGCAGAATGGCCTCCTCTGGACGTGCAAGCAACACCTCCGTGCCTCCTGTGTTAACAAAATAGTAATTCCATTAATTAAAACCAGAACTGAAAGCTAATCAACGTGTTTGGGTTTTTTAAAAGATTAAAAATGCACAGTAATCAGTTTTAAAACAAAGATATGATGATATTTTATATGTCATCATATACAACTTTGCATAGCTCCTCATGTTTAACAAGACAAAAGTTCTAAAGTATCAGTTCAGCATGAGCTCCTAATGAGCCAAAAGCTTGTTATGATGCCAAGGAGAGCAGGTATCCCTAATGTGGTTATCTCAGGCACACAGCTCTGTCTGAACAGAGGCCCCGCCTACCTGCTGTTGAAATAATGTGTTTGTGAGAGGCAGCCAATCAGATGATAGTTGGCTTAAAGGAAGAGGGAAAAGAGCTGAAGCAGAGAGTGATTTGACGGGAATCACTCAAAGCTATTTTAATGGACTCCAAGCATAAAAATATAAAGCTGGAAATGAGCATAAAAGGTCTACTTAAAAGTATTTTCCTGCATTAAGTCTCTGTGCAGATCATTATGTGTATTTGCAGCCTTGCTTTGCAAAATGCTAAATGCACCTAAAAACATCCCTTACTTCCTTCTGATGTATCTCTTATGCCGTGCTAATACTAGACTTGTTCATACAGGGAGTGCAGAATTATTAGGCAAGTTGTATTTTTGTGGAATAATTTTATTATTGAACAACAACCATGTTCTCAATGAACCCAAAAAAACTCATTAATATCAAAGCTGAATGTTTTTGGAAGTAGTTTTTAGTTTGTTTTTAGTTTTAGCTATTTTAGGGGGATATCTGTGTGTG